GGCGGCGCTTGGGATCGAGCGCGGCTCCCTCTCCTCCGAATCCGGGGTGTTGTTGTCGCTTTTTTTCCCCTCTTACTTCCTGCTTCCGCCTCCTTCGCCGCCCAGCCCGCCCCCGGCATCCGGTCACGTGGCCCCATCGGGCCTGGAAAGAACGGCTGGAGGATCCGAGGGAGACGAGCTGGATGGCCGGGGAGGGGGTAGAAAGAGCCTTCTAGGGAGATACAAATGCGCCTGCGCCGCAACCCCGAACCAATGACAGCGCTGCTCTCTGCCCACGCCACGCACAAGGGGCCAATCGCTTCGCCCCGCCTCTCTTCTTTCTTCCCGGCCGCTCTCAGCCAATCGGGTGTCGTCTTGCAGAGGGCCGTTACGGCCGCTTAAAGGGGCCGTGCCTTTAAAATGAAAATACCGTAACGCCTGTGAAAAGGAGCAAAGGAACGACTCGAATTACTATATAATATTGGTGTGTTGGATCCATAAAAGGCGAGGGTGGATTGAAGGGGGGGCGGGGGCTGTGGCATTATAGGTTGAGGTCCTGGGGCGAAATTGGGGAACGAAAAGTAACTAGTAACTAATTAGTAAGAGTCAAAACAGAAGTAACGAGGGGCCCCAGCCAGGGACTTTACTCTCCGGTAAAAGGTTGTAGCATTGCAAATCCACAATTTCCGCACCCGGCTTCATTCAGCTGTGTGTGTGTTCCGTGCTGTCAAGTCGGGACCGACTGACAGCGACCCTGGCAAGGCTTTTCAAGGTAAGGGAGAGATGGCACGGGGGAGATTCGAACCCAGGCCTCCTGAGTCCTCGCCAGTCATCCCACCGGACATTTCGAGTCTCTGAACTAGAACGAATATGCTTTGGCTGGAGGTGAGAGTTGGGCAACGAGTCTGCCTTTCTGTGGAGCGCGAGGAGGAAATAGAAATGCACCCATCCATCCAGAAACTGACACCCTAATAATACTCAATTTGACGGTTTCAAGGTGCTACACAGGACTCTTCTTTCTATTGGGGGGGTAGAGACGGAGAAGAAACCCGGAACCACGTCCTCCAAACCGTTGACTTGCTCCTCTACTTTTTTCTTCTCTACGGCGAGGCAGCCGAGTGTCAATGACTGGCGTAAACATGAATGGGCGAGGCCCCGCTTTCTTGTGAATGACGACATCCGTCCCGCCTTCATTTAGGAAATAGAAGGGGGGGGAAAGTAAATTTGAGCCGCTGTGAATGGCTAGCGGCCTTCCAGAAATTTACATACTGCTACGTGATAGGCTAGAGAGGCGGGGCGAAGTCCTGGCGCGGAGGTTTGAATCTACGCGAAGTGTTTCTTTCCCGTTGCTCAATCATGGCCGAGTTTGGGGATCCTGCCCAGGCGGAGCAATACCGGAGGTAAGCGAAGCATTTACTACACCGGATTTGGGGCGGGTGGATCTGCATATATGTATATGAATTTAATGTTTACTCGAATATACAAATTTTAAATATTTAATGTTTATTTAAATATTTAATGTTTACTCGAATATATAAACATTAAATATTAAATAAACATTATATATGTTTATTTTGGACACTTTTCGCCTAATCCTTTTTACCACGAATGACTAATATTCAGCTCAGAGGCTGGAAAATTATTATTTTTTAACTATAATTCCCAGAACACGTGTGCATGGGGGGAAGTATTTTTTAAAAATCCTAAACCAATAAACAAAAATATCTTAACAACAACTTATTTTAAAACCAAAATACTTAGGTTTTGGGTTAAAACTTGTATCTGTATTTATATAATACCAGTCAATGTTTTTTATAATTTTGACTGACTGGTGTTTTGAAAGAATAATAAATATCTCTGTTTTGGCTATGCAGGTTAAATCGAAACCTAAAGTAAAGCCGTTATTCACTCTCTTTGGTTTTCTCAAAGATTCGGAGTAGTGTGTTTTTCAACGCCATGGCATGAGCCTGCAACGCTGTTGTCTGTCTGGTTAGGACTTTATGGGCTCTACTCGTGGATTTTTGGTTTAGAAAGGAAGGATGCAGCTGTGCTAAAGGGGGACATAAGGATAAGAGAGATTGAGGGGCTTGGAGTCACACAGTACACCTTGAGGCCAAATGGGGATTTGAAGCCAGGTCTCTCCAGCTCCAAGTATAATCAGACTTACCTTGTGATTTTCAACCAGTGGGGCGTGATCTGCAGCTTGTCTCTGTCCTAATCTGGGCACATTCTGAGAAGTTGGGATTCTCTGGAAAAGACAATCATGCTGGGAAAGTTGGAAGGGAGCAGGGAAAGAGGAAGACCCAATACGAGATGGACTGATTCCCTAAAAGAAGCCACAGGCTGGAATTTGCAAGAGCTGAGTAGGGCTGTTGAGGACTGTACATTTTGGAGATTGCTCATTCATTCATGAGGCCGTCATGAGTCAGGGGTGACTTGATAACGCATAACAGCAACACCCGTCTTAAAATGGAATGTAAGATCCGTAAATCAGCGGTACCAGGATTAGGATATCTGGGATGATGTGTGTAACTTTAAAATGTATATTTAGCACTATAACATTTACTTGGAAAGCTGAGAACAATAATGACATGTTTTCCTAGTGCATAGCTTGTTGTATCACTCAGTCTTTGCTGGAATGTGGCATAATGATACCCAGTGTGGTGTAGATAGAGTGATAGACTATGACTCAGGAGGCCTGGGTTCGAATCCCTGCTCAGGCATGAAAACTCACTGAGTGAGCAGAACGGGTAAACCACTGCTTAAATATCTCCGATACCTTGGAAGCCCTTATCAGGATCGCTATAATTTGGTTCATTTTGAAAAAGTTCAGAGATGGCTTGTCCTCAGTGGCAGTATCTCCGATAAAATTATTGGAAGAGGAATGTCTGAATGGCTTATAAGTTTGGAATGCTTGTCAAAGAGGATCAAGCCTAAGAAAGTTTTGAACCCCAGTTTTAACCACTGTATCAAATACTTCAGCTTTAGATAACAAACGGATGTTGGAACATTAAAAGGTTTTGTAAAACTAAGTAAAATAAATATGCAAAAATGAAATTACCGTATTTTTCGCACCATAAGACGCACTTTCCCCCCACAAAACAGGGGGGTGGAAAGTCTGCGCATCTTATGGAGCGAAGAAAACGGATTATATTTTCCTGTTTTCTTCTCCTAAAAAATTGGTGCGCCTTATGGAAAGGTGCGTCTTATGGAGCGAAAAATATGGTAAGCTGTGGTAAAGGGAGTTAAGAACTTCCAGTTCACAAGCCTCCCACAACTCTAAATCACCGCACACAAATTAGTAGCATTTATTTATAAGGACACGTTCACTGTCCTATGCTCTAATGCTATGTTACACAAAAGGTTTAGAGTGCTGAGTTCTTTATTGCTGGTTGTCAAAGGAGGAAAGGAGGGGGAATCTACCTGTCACCCACAAGTCTTGGGCTTTGTCTTAAAATGGAGCACATGTTCCATAGGTGAGCAGTGCCTCCATTTGGATAAAGGATAAATTTGGCTAGACATTTTAAGCCACCGAGACTGTATTAAACTCGGTTCCAAGAGGGCACTTGGGGCCTTAATGAACCGGAGAGTCAACTAGCTACCTTATGAGTGCTGGCTAACCCAACAAGAAGATGGCCATGTTTTCTAACTCCCTTTTCCCAGAGCCTAGTGGTATAGTGGTTAAACTGCAGTACTGCAGTGAAGATTCTGCTCACCACCTGAGTTCGATCCCAGGCACAGATAGCTGGGCTTTTCTCTGGAAACTCTTTAAGACAGCAGCCACCTGAGGATAGAACTGCAGGTCAACCATACAGCCATCAGCGGAAGCATAGAGACCGTCCCAACGGACGCACCAAGAGCAAGAAAGCTCGATATTGATGGTGAGGTCCTCTAGCCAAAGCAGGGGGGGTGGCCCTTCTCCGACCCTTGGAGGTAGAGAAGAAACACCAACCCTGTTCCCTGCTCTTCCCTCAACATCATAGCAGCCCCTCCCCAATACTGGGCAGGAACCCTTATAGGTGGAGCAAGAGGAAGGAAGAAAAGAATGGGAGAGGCCACAGTGCTTGTTTGCCTGAGACCCACATCTGGCCAGGAAATGGACGAACAATGGCCGGTCATCATCATTGCTGTTCGGTCCTTCCTCAAAGAGGCTGTGGTCCTTCCCGCCCCCCATCTCCCCGCTGGAAGGGCTTCTGCAGGGCAAGGGGAGGCTGGGGGGGTAGGTATTCCAGCCACCAGATGCAACTGACCAGATGCAAAAGCCCCAATAAAGGTGGGGGCAGAGAAATGGTTAATGCAGGGGTTCTGTGCAGGCTGGCAAACGTCCTTGTCCGGCGATAGATCATCCCCCTGAAGGGCCAAATGTGGAGTTTTCCAAACGACAAAAAAAAAGCTATACTTTTAGCAAGCTTTCAAGTTGTTTTCATCCCAGTGGGCTTTGCTGGAGCTTATGCGGCAGCTGCTCGAGTCTTCTGAGTCATCGAGGCCCTTATTTCTACCCTGGCCCTGGATTTAATGCCAAGGCTCCGTGGTTTAAAACACCTAGCAAAATTTATGGATTTCCATCCCCTCCCCAACTTTCCTTTTTTTAAAAAAAATGTCTCATGAGATGTGAATGTGAAAGGTCATGTATTTTGGGAATTCGTAATTGAGCCTGATAAAAGTATTGCCCACCTGTAGGTTTTGAAGTGCGTCTTATTCCTGTGCAGCAATTAAATCCACTTTCATTTGAGATCTTAAAGTAGATTAGATGAAACATTTGGTAGATTAGCAGCATAAACCTTTGCAGATCTACTCAGAAACAAGTCCTGTTTCACTCAATGTAGCCTTGCAGCTTTCATCAATGAATAATCATCATGTGCTCTCATGTCAATCCTGGCTTATAGGGACCCATTTCCAGGGATTTCCAGACAAAGAATACTCAGAAGTGCTTTACCCTTCCCTTCCTCTAGGGGGCACCCAGGGACAGTGCAGCTGGCCCAAGGCCACCCAGGCTGGCTTTTCTCCCAGGAGGCACCGAGGGGGAATCAAACTCCCAACCTTTGGTTCTGCAGCCAGATGCCTGAACCACTAAGCTAGGATGCACCTAAAGTAATTAATTTCCATTGGTCTTGGCTTTCTCCTTGAGCTACAGGCTTTTTCGATCTGTTTTCTAAAATATTTTACATATTAGATTTTGATTTTTCTTCCAAAACTGCTGTGTATGTGTATGTGTAGGTTGAAAGTATAAATATAAAAGTAGTGACTAGAAAAATTTAATGCAAATGATGCTACACTGTTATGGAGTGTATCTAGTTTTTTTTTTTTTTAAAAAAATTACATTATGGGCCTTAGGTTCTTGTTCCGGGAGAAAGATGAGATGCCACTCTAAATAAATAAACCTTGTAAGCATAATTGTTGGGTGAACTGGGGGAAAAAAACTGGAGCAGCTGCCTTTCCCATGTGTATGCTGTTTTGTTTCACTGTTTTTGCATTTCTAACTTGCTGAACTGTGTGGTTTTCTCTCTCTCTCTCTCTTTCTCTTTACAGCTATGTTTCCAGAGGGAAGCAGGAAGCGAGAGAGGGCAATCTGGAAGAATCCATCAGATTATTCAAACAAGCCCTTGAAATCCATCGCAGCGAAAAGCTGATAAAGAATATAGCGAAACTAGAGGAGGCCCTGGCTTCACTGGTCCTGGATCAGGAGGAGGATGATGACTTTGTGGATGTGTGCGGGAGCGGACTCATGCTGTACAAGGACATGCATGAGAAGCTGTTTGAGCACCAGAGAGAAGGCGTTGCTTTCTTGTACCGTCTGTACAGAGAGGGAAAGAAAGGTGGGATCTTAGCAGACGACATGGGCTTAGGCAAAACTATTCAAGTCATTGCTTTCCTCTCAGGCATGTTTGATGCAGAACGGGTGCGATCCGTGCTGCTCGTTGTGCCAACCACCCTCGTCAGCAACTGGGTGCGAGAGTTTGCCAGCTGGACTCCGGGACTGCGCACGAAAGTCTTCCACGGGACCTCCAAGGCTGAGCGCACCAGAAATCTAGAACGGATCCAGACGCGGAACGGAGTCTTGGTCACGACGTACAACATGCTTCTGAACAACTGGCAGCACCTCGCTAGTTTCCGGGGCAAGGGGTTTGTCTGGGACTACGTCATCCTCGATGAAGCCCATAAGATCAAAAGCCCCTCCTCCAAAACCACAAAGGCGGCGCACGCCATCCTTTCTAAAAACCGTGTTCTGCTCACAGGAACGCCGGTCCAAAACAACCTGAAAGAACTGTGGGCCCTCTTTGATTTTGCTTGTCAAGGTTCCCTCCTAGGGACCAGCAAAACCTTCAAGATGGAGTATGAAAATCCCATCACGCAAGCGAGGGCGAAAGATGCCACGCCAGGAGAGAAAGCGCTGGGGTATAAGATGTCTGAAAATTTGATGTACATCATCCAGCCCTATTTCCTAAGACGGAGCAAAGAGGATCTCCAGAAGAAAGCGCTAAAAAGCAGCCTTCCTGAAAATCAGAGTAACGGCGCTGCTCCTGCCATGCCTTCTCTTCCCAGAAAAAATGACTTCATTGTGTGGGTTTACTTGGCACCCGTCCAAGAGGAAATCTATAGGAAATTCCTCTCCTTGGACCATATCAAGGAGGTGTTGATGACCACACGTTCCCCGCTGGCTGAACTGAATATCCTGAAAAAGCTGTGTGATCACCCCAGGCTTCTGTCCGCGCGGGCATGTAGTCAACTTGGTCTAGAAGCGTCCGGTTATAATGAACTGGATGGCAGTGAGAATGAAGCTGACGCGCGTCTGAGCATTGACAAGAACATCGAGCATGTTTCTGATGAGATTTTGATGAAGGAATCTGGAAAGTTAGGTTTCCTTGTGACCCTGCTGGAGAGGCTGCAACGGGAAGGACACAGAACGCTGGTTTTTTCCCAGTCGAGAAAAATGCTGGATATTATCGAGCGCATCTTAAGGCGCCGGTGCTTTAAATTCATGCGCATTGACGGGACAGTGACTCATTTGACGGAACGAGAGAAAAGGATCAGTGTGTTTCAGAATAACAGGGATGTCTCTGTCTTTTTGCTGACGACTCAAGTAGGCGGGATCGGCTTGACCTTAACAGCTGCTACCAGGGTGGTGATTTTTGATCCTAGCTGGAATCCAGCGGTGGACGCTCAAGCCGTGGACAGGGCTTACAGAATCGGACAACAAGAAAACGTTGTGATCTATCGGCTCATCACCTGCGGAACCGTAGAAGAGAAAATCTACAGAAGGCAGATCTTCAAGGACGCTCTAATACGGCAAACCACTGGGGACAAAAAGAACCCATATAGATATTTCACTATGCAAGAACTTCGAGAGCTCTTCACGCTGGAAGATACTCGTAGTTCGTCCACACAGCTTCAGCTGCAGTCTTTGCATGCTACTCAAAGGAAGACGGATAGTCGTCTGGATGAGCACATTGCGTACCTCCACTCCCTGGATATATTTGGCCTCTCCGACCATGACCTTATGTACGCGCATGAAACGGTCCATGAGGATGAAGCTGAGAACGAAGATGCCTACAGGTACATAGAGCACAGAGTCCAGAAAGCGCAAGAGTTGGTACAGCTGGAATCGCAACTGAAGGAGCAGCTGTTGGGGAACATTCAAAACTCAACCGAAGGGGCGTGGCTGAAAGAAATGGAATCGGCCACTCAGCCAAAGAGGAAACTGCAGAAGGCTCCTCAGAACCATTCGCTTGTCCCCCCGGCATCCATTGAACCCACCAATGCTGAAGTTGTCAATCTTGTAACTGAAGAGGATGACAATGACTATGATGAAGTTATCAACATCAGCTCCAAAATAACAAGTCTGCTTATTGAGGATGTAGCTGAAGAGCAGATGCTTCTGGGCACATCTAATTTGAGCAGGTCACCCTCCAGAAGTCTAGTTGTTGAGGATGTGGCTGAAGAGCAGATGCTTCAGGATGCATCTAATTTGAGCAGGTCATCCTCCAAAAGTCTGGTTGTTGAGGATGTGGCTGATGAGCACATACTTCAGGATGTATCTAATCTGAGCAGGTCACCCTTCAAGAAGAAAGGACGCCGATCAAGCCGTTTACATGCACCTAAGCGAGAATGTGATCCAAGCAACATATCCCCATTTCTTGATGCTCCCTCACCTGACAAGGAAAACTGCAGTCCAGAATCTAACGTGATCTCCCATTACCCAGCTTCCCAAGAGGCGGACAAGGATCAAATGCTTTGGAACAAAACTAACATGGAGATACCACTCTGTAAGGATGAAGGCAGAGAATCAGTTGATTTACAAGAATATGGGCAAAACCAGAAAGTGAGCACTGTAGAGTCTTCTCATCCTATCGATTCCTTATCTATTGAGGAAAACTGCAGGTCTGGATCTTCTGTGACCTCTGGTGATCCACCTGCCGAGGGAATCAGCAAACCGGAAGATGCCCAAATGGTGTCGTTTCAGCAGTCCTTTGAATATGTTTCTGGAGATGAGAAGCCACAGGCCCAAGCTGAAATGTCTCTCAATGTTCCTACGACCCCATTTGGAAAGGCACGTGAAATGAATTTGCTGGATGCGGCAACGTCGTTTCAGCTGCAGACCCATAAAATGTCAGAGGGGAGTGCAGTGCAGAAATCCGGAACGGATGAAAAGGCGTTGGGACGTGAAGGCTTTGCTGCTCCTCTTTCATTCCAGGCTGATTTCAACCTTATTTTGGAGTCTTCCAAAGAGGAGCTACAAGACAGATCAACTAAAGAAATGTCACTGGAGGAGGATATAGAAAACGAGGGATTTCAGCTGAAACTGGACATGTCTATGTCTCACTCTTGGGGAGGAGAAAACAGAAGTGGGAGAAGCCTCCAGGTTAGCAAAAGTCTGGGTTCTGTGCTTGCGGACAACTCTAGAGCCTCTGATGGGTTGATGGACAACAGCGAGACCTCTTTCACCTATAAGAAGAAACCTGCGAGAAGAATCATTTCAGATGATGAAGAGGAAGATGAGAGTCTTCTAACAGAACGGAATGAGAGTGAGCGTCGCAGAGAGACATCTGCCATGAACCCTCTGAATGGAAACTATATGTCAACCCCAAAGTCCGAGAGACCTCTGGCCGATCTTTGTTTCTCTCCGATGGTGAACAGCGGGAAAAGGAGGTCTATTGCTTCCCGGCGATCCCTTGCCAATCTTGTTTTCGATGAGGTGGAAGACATGGTAGAAACCGTCGAATATACTCATGATCTGATGAACTTAGAAAGTGAATTAACCCGAGGGGACAGTGCTCAGGAGCTGATGGAGTTAGAAGAGGAACTGCTGGATGACGAGTCAACCTCTGAGAACAGCTTGAGTTGTGCGGGCTCTCCAGGGGATTGAGTTTTCTTTTTGACTCTCCTGAAGAAAAAACCACCCTGATTTTTTCATGTTGCCTAGGAGAAAAGGCAACCCCACGCTTTCTTGAGCTGCCCAACCGGCTCAGATGTTCTTCAATGGTTTGTACTGTTGTTTCAGAGGGAAGAAACGAAAATTGTACCATCCTTTGGATCCTGAGCTGTACCTTGAAATGTGGAAGGGAAGGATCTTGTTCCCCCTTGAAGACTCACCTGCATTGTTGGGCATAAGCTCTTGTGGAATGTGATCCAGATATATCTGATGAAGTGGGTTACTAACCCTGTAAGGGCTTACGCCAAGTAAAATCTATTATCATTCGAGTGCCACAAGACTCGTTTGTTCTTGATGCATCAGACCACAGGGACACCTCGGATATCTTACATCAATGCACTTTTTTTTTAATGCATAACATTTCACAGATTATGGGGAAGCTATAACAGATTTGCACCTGCTTGGCAGTTTTGTGCAGGAGAAGTGGGAAGATGGATGTTCTTGCTGATGGGAATGTTTTCCAGGAATTCTTCTCCAGAGAGTAAGACTATGTTTGGTTTATTTTGGTGCGCAGTCTGCCTCCAAGTCAGATCATTGCGACTTTTAAGAAAAAATAGTTGCTGTTGGTTAAAAATACAGTTCCTTTTACCTTGCAAACCCACCGTGTCCCCTGTTGTCTTGGGTCACCTTTGAGTTGTGAAGTCAGATGTGTGTGCCTGAATGGAGAATTTCTTCTGGGCAAGCCATAAATATCTTGTTGAAAAAAACAACAACTACGGCAATTAATTTATGTTTGGGTGAGATGTGACTAACTGATGGGGGGTGGGAGTTTGGTCCTGGCATTTTCCCTTTCTTGGTGTCTATGAACACTGGTGAGCCCAAGAGGGGATCATGTAGACCATCTGGATGGCTGCCATTGGGGACTGTCAACATGCAAGCTGGCTTTTACTATGGAAAGTTTAGAATCTGTTTTGCATGATGGCAATGGAACCTTTCCTGGCATTTTGAATCATGGACGCAGAAACAATATCTCACATTTCATAAACCAGAGGGGTGTGTGTGTGTGTTTAAAGGATTAAATTTTAATATTGTGTCACCTAGCAAAAGTGGGAAGAGGCTGTGCAAACAAGTTACATGTGTAATTTGGTTTTGCAAACAGTTGATGTTCTGCTGGTTGCAAGATTCAGGGAGCCGATACCCTAGTCCATAATATTCCTCCTTCCCTTTCTCTCCTGAGCTGCTTTCTGTCTAGTCCTACATGTATATGCTCAGAAATTAAGTCCACTATCAACAGGACATGCTCCCAGTTAGTTTCCAAATAAGTTACGATGTTAGTCTGTCTCAACAAAAGGAAACAGAAGAGGAGGGAACCTAAAATATTGTAGCATTTTATAGGCTACCGATTTTTATTTCCATGAAGGTTTTTGCCGATGAAAGCCCACATCCTCAGACCCTGGAGTACAAAGACATGGCCAGTAGATTTATATATATATCCCCATCACTGACAGAGGATACAGATAATAGACAAAGTGAAAATGGTTCATTAATACAGGAATGGGACTGTCTGGCTGTATATTACTTCAATTTGCAGGTCCTGGTCATTGCAAGAGCTCCTAGTTAGAATGGGCATGACACTGCAAGTATTAGCTCAGTGGCTCCCAGCCTTGGGTAATCCAAATGTTCTTGAACTGCAGTTCCCAGAACCCTTCACCACCAACTAAGCTAGCCAGGGTTTTGGGAGTTGGAGTCCAAGAACATCTGGATGACCCAAAGTTGGGAGCCCCTTCATTAGCGGATTGCAGAGGCCTGGAAGTTGGTGTTCTCCAAATTCTACTGCATACCATTCCTCAAGATTTCTCAGTGGCCAGGGATTCTGGAAGCTGTGGTTCCAAAGATGTGGCCCCCATTTCAGGTCAAGATGGATCAGGGACCCATGGAGACTGTTCCTCCTCACCTAGAAGCCAAATTAATTTCCACTCCATTTCATGAAACTGCACAAGGAGGTACTGTATAGCCGCCTAGAGTGGTCCGGCGGGCCAGATAGGCGGGGTATGAATCAAATAAATAAAGAAATAAAGAAGGTTTCCAAGATTCTTCCATTGCTCGTAGTTGTAGCTGAAAGGATCATGTTTTCTTTTAAGAATAAGCAAAGATGTGCTGATAATTATGGCTAAAAAACAAGCTCTGCCCTGGCTGGAGCACAACTGCTGAAATAAACGAAGCTCGTCATGGATAGAATCGTAGAACAGCAGAGCTGGAAGGGACCCTCTAGATCATCAAGTCCAGCCCCTTGTCAAAGAGGTACCACAGGGGAATCGAACTCTCAGCCTCTCCTAAACCACCGAGCTATCCAGCAGTTAGGTTACCAATAGAAGTCATAATTCGTTTGAGTTAGTGTACTCTAGCTGGGGCTGACAGCTGAAATGCTAAACCACCAAGCTATCCAGCAGTTAGGTTACTAATAGAAGTCAGAATTCGTTTGAGTTAGCGTACTCTAGCTGGGGCTGACAGCTGAAATGACTCCTAAAATTTGCCCCAAAGCCATTAATTGCATCAGGAGAAAGGGGAAACCAATTTGCCACATAAACATAATCCCCTCGGGTCTGTTTGAGATTTCAAAAGACTTAGAAAAAAACAAGCTATCCAGCAGTTAGGTTACTAATAGAAGTCAGAATTCGTTTGAGTTAGCGTACTCTAGCTGGGGCTGACAGCTGAAATGACTCCTAAAATTTGCCCCAAAGCCATTAATTGCATCAGGAGAAAGGGGAAACCAATTTGCCACATAAACATAATCCCCTCGGGTCTGTTTGAGATTTCAAAAGACTTAGAAAAAAAAGGAAGGAACAGGAGGTGCTAGTTGGTTTCTGTTTGCAAAGAAAAAAAGAAAAGGGTACTTCTAAGGCTTTGAACAATGTGGCAGATGTTGCCAAAATTCTCTTTCTATGGCATATAGAACTATAGTGGTAGAAGGGATCCCAAGGGTCCCTAGGTTCAAACACAGCCCCACTAAGGCAGGAAAGTTGCTGCTAAAGGATTGCTAACAAATGGCCATCTAATGTTTGTTTTAAAATATCCAGCGAAGGTGAGGCCACCACCCTCTGAGGCAGTCCATTCTCTTGATGAAGAAGAAATTCTTCCTAATGTTCAGGTGAAATCTCATTTCTTCAAACTTGGGTGCATACGTCACAGCAGCTTTTGCAACACACAACATGGAGTTGGGGGACAAAAATAATGAGGGGGTGGTAGAGAGGGGCAAGCTGGCTGGATAGCTCACTGTGTTAGGTCTCTGGCTGCAGAGCTAGAGGTTGGGAGTTCGATTCCCTGCTTGTGCCTCCAGGCAGAACCAGCCTGGGTGGCCTTGGGCCAGCTGCACAGTCCCAAGGTTGCCCCTAGAGGAAGGGAAGGGTAAAGCACTTCTGAGTTCTCTCTACCTGGAAAAGATACCTGTTAAGCTATCCCTATTACATCCTGAGCCTTTCTGTCTTTAAAAATCCAGAATGGCTCAAGGATCAAACTTACAATTAGAATAGACCTCCTAGGAATCTCATATATCCAATGTCTCAATTCTAGCTGAAATGAACAAAGGGATTTTCCCCCCAACAGTCCTAGAAGGTCTGGAGTGGATTGTGATGTAGGCATGAACAATCTTAAAAGTATCCTGTTTCAGCAATGGTAGTTGGACTGCAGTTCCCATCATCCTTGGTTATGCTGGCAATGGGAGATGCAGTCCAACAGTACTTGATGCCTAAAGAGAACTAATGGTTGTTCTTGGTTTTTCGGGCTCTTTGGCCGTGTTCTGAAGGTTGTTCTTCCTAACGTTTCGCCAGTCTCTGTGGCCGGCATCTTCAGAGGACAGCACTCTGTGCTCTGGTGTAGTTGGCTTGGGAGTGCAGTATTTATGGCTGTGAGATAGGCTTTTGTCTTTTTCCTGTAGATGGGTGATTAGTGTGTATTGTTGTGCTAAGGGGAAGAGATTATCTGTTCCTGTGGTTGATGGGTGTCATTAGCTGGTCTTTTGCGTGTAGTGATCCCCTGTCCTTGTGGGTGGGTAGAGTTCCCCTTAGCACAACAATACACCCACAACAATACCTAAAGAGAACTGCTGGGTAGCTCATTGGTTTAGGTCTGCGGAGCCGGAGGTTGGTGGTTCGATTCCCCCACTGTGCCTCCTTGACGGGGGCTGGATTTTATGATCTCTATAGGGCCCCTTCCAGCTGAGCCATTCTAAGATGAATACCTGATGGACAGGCAACTCGACAGACTCTGCCTGACACGACAGGCTGGGGTTAAAGGTGCATCTTGTATCTGAAAATGATGGCCAGAGATCACTGGCTGTTTGAAAATAAAAACCAGCCAAATCAATAATGATACACGGCTGTTAAAAGTCAGAAGAGAACAGAGGGCCTGGTCAACTGTGATCTGGGACAGAATGGAACATCAATACAAGCTGACAGGCATGCAGCTGTGAAGCTCGATATGACGTCAAAGCACATTTACCTCTTTCCAGTCGTGACGTCAGCCGATAATGAGTCACTCCACAAAGAGGGAAGCAGTAACCTTAATCGGTTCTATATTTATAACATTCCAAACAAGAGCTGTACTTTGTTCAAAACTAGTTGCGATATATATATATATATATTTTGACCGAGAAATACATGTTTCAATTTGGACAGCTGCCCAAGGGGGATAAAAATCTGGGTGCAGGCTCTGCCGATTCTATTATATCTGCACCTCCTACCCCTTAAAATGAGACAAAGACATAAAAATGAATCTCTAGTGCTTCTTGGGGAGAGAGAAAAAACCACAGCTTTTCTGTAGCAAGGTATTTTCCTTTAAAGAGGTCCTTTCCTTTAAATGAAGTCATTCATAATCAAGGTAGCGCCGATGATCCCCGATAGTTTTTTTTCATCAACTGCTTAGGAGATTGAGATGTTTTTAAAACATTTGGGTACTTGCCTCCCAAATTTGATGCATAGACTGTCACGGAAGAATGATGATGGAAACGCTGTGGCATCAAACGAGAGCTGCGAAAGGAAGAAAATGAGATTTTGTACACTGAAAACACTTTGCAGAGACGCTGAAAAAGCAACAGATCTCTTGAATGTTTTTCTTTTTTCTCTGTTAAGACAGGATATGGCAAGATTTTGTAAATGTTATGTACTCTTCTTGCCGATACACTCTTTCTCTGCTGGCAAAGCAAAATTATTTTCAATTAAGACTTCCTGGGAAGCACACAGCTCTCATACCTCCTTTGTTTTTGACTGCATGTAGGCATGCAGTCCCTGTATGCCTATGGCTTCCCCCTTAGTTGCCAAATTTAAAAGATGGCAAAACAACAACACACATAACACACCACAGCGTTTTCCTTAAAACAAGGCACACAGGGAGCCACACACATAACACACATACATAACAGTGTTTTCCTTAAAACAAGGCACACAGGGAGCATGCATCTTGTTTACAAGGTGATTAGCATACCTAAAACTGGTAGAAAAGAAGGCATGTACAGTGGCACCTCGCTAGGCAGTTAACCCACATGACAATTTTTTCGCTAGACATTGACTTTTTGCGATCGCTATAGCGATTCGCAAAACAGTGATTCCTATGGGGGAATTTCGCTGGACAATGTTTGGTCCCTGCTTCGCAAACTGATTTTCGCTAGACAACGATTTTGACAGCTCCCTCTGCTCTCGCAAAACGGGTGTTTTCGGGATCTAAGCTTCACAAGGCAGCTATTTAAACAGCTGATCGGCGGTTCGCAAAGCGGCTTTCCTATGGCTGATCTTCGCTAGACAACGATTCTTCCCCATTGGAACGCATTAAACAGGTTTCAGTGCATTCCAATGGGGAAATGCTTTTCGCTAGACAATGATTTCGCTAAACAGCGATTTCAGTGGAACGGATTATCATCATCTAGCGGGCACCACTGTACTTATCTCACATCTGGCTGGAAGAAAAATTGCAGTTGCAGCTTCCTACAGCTGTTTATTTTTTTCCAGTGAGGCTTATAGTTTTATAGCACCGGACAGAAGGAGCGTACATGCTATTTTTTAGTTTCTTGGAGCGCTAACCTGCTTGAGAACAAGAATGTTCCTTACTGCCTTGTTTTGGGGGCAAATTGTGGTCTCTCTCCTCCCCACTGCCTTTTGCTACTGATATTGAGCACTAGAAAGTCCAGCTCAACTCATCTGCTTAAGCTGCCTGCCTCTGCATTAATAAATCAGGAGAGCCATGTATGTTACCGTTACCTGCAAGCATGCCATTTCCCAACTTATGGAAACCTTTCAAATGAATGTGCTCATTGCAAACAGAGCAGCAGCTCCGTATGTTGCATCAATCCTTGTCATGTTAGGTTTTCCTACTGCCATCCATTTGTTTCCCAAGTGCTATGGCTTCTCCTGTGGGTCTTGCCTTTTTTGTGATGCATCCAAAGTTTGATCTCGGCCCAGTAGGCTTGGTTTGGTGTGATAGTAATAACAACCAAATGTTCTCAAGCCAAGTCAGACTGATGGAGACATTTACCAGTCCCTTCTTCTGGGGACACCCTGGGGCCATGACAGCTTGCCCAAGGATACCCAGGCTAGCCTTCTCCTGAGAGGCATAGTAGAGAAGAAAACTATGAACCTCTGGCTCTGTACCCTGGTCCTTGACTCAGTGCGATGGGCACTTGGCGGCAGAATCAAAGTTTGGGAATTAAGTTCTCCGTTGTACTTCCTAGGAGAAGAGTTAACTTGTGCAACCCTGGGCAATCTGCAGAACCACCTGGTGCCCTCAGAAGAAGGGAATAGCAAACCACTTCTGAATGCTCTATAGCAAGGGAAACCTGGAAAGGGACGCCGTTAAGTCAGAATTGGCTCAATGGCATGTTATTATCATTATAATATCCATAAAGATCTCCCAACATATTTCAAACGAGCCCATTGTAAATATTCCTGCCAATTTGGAATCAACTTAGAGAAATTCTAACAAGGCTTTTTCAAGCTTTGTTAGCCGCCCCGAGTAGACGTAGTCTAGAGGGGCGGGGTAAAAATCAAATGAATGAATGAATAAAGAAATAAAGAAAGAAATAAGGTACATTTGGGATTTAAGGAGTGGATTCTCCATTTCTATTCCCGGAGTTTCCATAGCTGAGTAGTGATTTGAACCCAGGCCTCCTGAGTCCTAGCACATCACTCTATCCACTACGCCACACTGGGTACAAACTGGGGAAATAAGGTAAATTTGGGATTTAAGGAGTGGATTCGCCATTTCTATTCCCGGAGTTTCCATGGCTGAGTGGTGATTTGAACCCAGGCCTCCTGAGTCCTAGCGCATCACTCTATCCACTACGCCACACTGGGTACAAACTGGGGGAAGCTAGGGACACTATTGATCAGGAATGGGGACTTGAGGTGCTGAACTTGCTGTCAAGTTGGACTTAAGTTGCATCAGTAACTCAACTCAGACTTGACTGAGGGTTCCCCCCCCCCCATGACGAAGTTGGTGCACACCTCAGAGTCTACCCACTCCTTCTCTTCGTTTCCAGGGGAAAACAGCTTGTTCGTAATAGGCACTTGGGACTTGGTGCCAAAGACTCGGAGTCAGACTTGGGACTTGCATCCAAAGACTTGCCAATCTTCCTTATTATTGGTTAAGATGGTCAAGAGAAGGCCATTATTCCATCTATAGCCCATGTGATATTCCAGCTGCCTTCCTCTGACTGGCCAAGAGCACGCCCCCTTTTTCCTTCCCTGCATCCAGACTATTACTCAGGGATGAATCAACTGGCTTAAGCTCATTGGCCGGCAATGAGCAAACACATTAAATCAAATGAGTGTTGCGTTCCTCTCTAATTTGTGCTGAGCAATCCTATCGGTGTTTCATCTCATTGAAGTGTGATGATGTTGGGTCAAAGCACAGTGTTAGCAATGTCTGGAATCACATTCAGTGCTGAGTTACGGTCACCGAGGACTTCCATGAAAGGAAGAAACAAACGATGCAGATGGTCTTGGACAGATTCCTGCTACCTATAGGTTGCCCCATTTTTCCAGGCCTGTATCAATGATGACCTCTCCACTTTATGCTTAGAACCACCATGTGAGTAAAGTGATTGTGTGACAGAGGGATTGGCCCAAGATCACCCACACAGTGAGTTTCAGAGGGACTTGAACCTGAGTCTTATGGGGTAGCTGATTCCTAGTGTTTGTGGGCACCTGGTGAGGAATCCTCTTCTGCCTTTGTACTGTACCATTTCTCTGGCTTGAAAAAGACTACGACTCTAACGCTCATAATTAAGCATGGAAGATTTGGATTTTTTTTCCACTCCAGCTACCAGAATTCACCAGGAATTTCCCAAGCTATAATTCTGGCAGCTTTAGCCAAGAAACCCAAGTCCTCAGCGGTGTTTCAGGGAGTGCACACATGCTTTGGCAAGTATCTCTTTGCAGAAATGGGTGCTAAGCATAAAGAAGAAGGAAATGGGTAGGAGGAACAAAGCTGTATGAGAACTCCAAGGCATTACTGGCTGGTAGCGCTTTTATATTTTATTTTATTTTATTTTGAAGGGGCATCCTCAGAGTCTAATAAGCAGAGAGACTGCCAGTCCCTTAATGCCTTGCAGTTTCCATGGAACATAGAAAGCCCCACACACATCCTTCTTTTCCACCACATCGCACTCCAGCAGTGGCCAGTCTGCTCCTTGTCTTGCCACTGTTACATTGGAACCAAGTTAGAGCTACCCTGACAAGACTTTCTAAGCAAGTGAGATGTTTAAGGTGTGGTTTTTATCAGCTCCACCCCCTTCCCTGTGACTTTCCATGGTCAAGTAGAGATTGGACTCCCCTACGCCCTCGTCCATCAGGCTATCCACCACACCATATTGGCGATCGCAGCAGTGTCACGCAACGGCTGTGGCTGGTTGTCCCACCTCCCCACATTGTCCACCAGCCATGATGGCTACTAACCAGCCTCTGAAATCCTTGTCAGGCTCAGCTGGCACCCCTTGTGACAGATTTGCCCCAAGATTGCCTTGTCCTCACACTCTTGGCCCTGAAGAATTCCATTCTCACCCTCTTAGGGGCAACCTGGCTAGACCGTGACTGCCCCGCGGCTAGATGATCCCAGACTTTCAGGGAATCATAGAATGGCAGAGCTGGAAGGGACCCTGCAGAAGATCATCTGATCCGATGCTCTGCCAATACAGGAGATCTACCTCTAAAGCATCTCTGATGGCATCTAACCTCTACTCAAACCTACCCCGAGGAAGGAGAGTCTACCACCACATGCTGGACTTAGCCCCCCCCAGCGGGTAGAACCCACTCCCAACGAAAGTGTTGACTTTGAAAGAACGGAGAGGGTCCCTAAGTGGGAACCCTGGAGCAGCCCTGTGTTAGCTGCAGGCAGGCAACCATGTTGGCCAGTGAAATTGACCAGGTGGAAAGTGGGGAAACCAGGAGAGGGTGGCGAACCTGCCTGGGGGTGGGTGTCCCTTTCTCTGGGGTGGGGGAGATCTGATCCCCCCCCCCAGAAAAACCCTCGTCCTCTCCCCCCTTCTCTGCCG